GAGAACTGTTAAAAGCTGTTTTAGGACATTGCGATACAAGTCGGAGATAGAATTCTACTTTTTACAGATAATTACTGTCATCGGATGTCAGCGTTACATTACAGCTCTCAGGACCGGTGTTTTAACGACACAATTATTTGGTGGTATGGGTATCATCTCGAGTTTCGTGCGCCTTCAGACAGGTGTGAACAATTTACCTAGAGATTTATAACATTTTCTCGAACGTCAAAAGAAATTGTTTTGTCATTATGTGAATTTTTTTAATGTATCAACAATACACATATGTAATATACCTACTCGTATATATAGGAATGGAATGTACCTACAAACATGTACATATTAAATAAAATAGGTCGACGTACACTGTATATAGAAACATCTATATGTATCTTAAGAGCTCTGGTTCGAGGCTTACGTGTTAAAGCCGCCAGATACTGGTCGCAGGTCGGTGTTTTTTCTCCGGGTACTCCGGTTTTCCTGCACCACAACAAACCTGACTCGTCCATAATTGATTATAGTTGTTATAAGGATGCGAAACACAAACAAACCAGACAAAAGGGTCCATATTTTTTCCACATTTTAGCAAAGCACGGGTAGAAGAATGTTTATATCCAAGTATAGTTTGACCCTATATCTTACCTGTGTTTTCACCTGTAATCAATTGCTACATCAAAAGTTTCGTAGTTACATGGGTAAGAAGCTGATTATAATTTCGTTATCTAATAAGGTATCATCTAACATATTCAGATTTTTGAGAAAATAAAACAATAAAAAAACAAAGGAAAAAATGTACTGAATGTTGAACTGTATTTTTATGCGTGTTACATGTGTTCCCTGTGTTGATGTCTCTTAATTCCAGCCATACATTACAATAGCTGACCTCCTACTGACCCCTGGATACGGCCGTAACTAAAAGGACTCTCTATAACGGAAGGCGCGACTGTTCGGACATCTATAACGTTACAACCAGACATAATAAGATACAAAAAGCTTTTAGTACCGGTATAATGTTCTCAGTTCTGTCGCCATTATAGAATAAATTGTCGCCCATTACTTGTCTTTGTACGCAAACATTATACCTGGCCAGCACCGCGCTAATCACCTGGGGATAGGTCTATAGACGTGAGCGATCATTGCTCGAGAAACTCCATAAATGTTGTATGTGGTCTGTAGACGTTCCAGCTAGTGAGGGTCACAGGGCCCCATTGTAATTGTAAGGTATCGTATAGGCAGGGGACACAATTCTTGAAATTGACGTTCAATATCGGGCTTCGCAATTAGAAGTCGAGTTGCTTAGCTATAATGAAGCTCAAAGCTAAAACCGTTTTGTTTGAATTATTTCAAACCCTTCTTAGGTATTAATTTTCTATTCTTTCTCCTCTTTATCGGAATAGCATTTCCAAACTCTGGTTTTTAATCTTCTATTATCTTGCTCTTTATAGAAATAACATTCCAAAACCCTTCAGTAATTAATTGTCTTGTGCGCTATCCACCGTCGAATTAGTTAATGATGGCGGTGCTGGGGTTTTGTTGCTGCAGCTGAAGCTGACGTTGCACGCGGAAGTCCTTGGTCAATTGTCTACTCAAACTTTAGCTGTATAAATATGAATGTTTGGTTTTCGTCTTGATGTTTGACTTCGATAACAAAACCTATTATCATTAGCGGAAGTAGCAGTAATGCTATTCTATAAATGCACCCTGTCAAATAGGTCGATAATTATCATTGTTCTCCCTCGTGTTTCATGCACTTAATCAGCTTTATTCCACAGAACAATGAAAATGTCAATCCGAAAATTAGAAAAAAATATCGTTTTTTTTCTTCTTTTTCTCTCTCTCCAATGATTATAGGCTATTATGTAAGAACTGCTAATAGCCTCGTTATCGACTTCGTTTAGTAACCGGCAATGCGTTATCTACTGCAAAACACATTGTAACCTTTGAACCCGGCTACAGTTCTGTGACCTTACCCGCGGGTTGACTCCCCAGGGATCAGCTCGCATTAGTAACAAGATGACTGTAATCGGAGATTTTTTTTTCTGTTCATGAAAATCCCTCTTACTTGTTTGGACTAGAGTAGATCTTTAAAAGTTAGTTGTCTAAATGTGAGCTGGAGACTTATCGATTCCAGATGGGGTTCTCTCCTAGACTGGCGAAGACATGTTTATACGCCGTTCGAAACAGCCAGAAAACAGATACTTAATGGAATTTAAAACCGGAGCAGATTTTCACGGGATTACTGCCTTTTTCATGTTTATACTCCGATGTGTTAGTTGACTGGTCCATGTTTTGACAATTGTGTAGCCAAAACATGTTTTCACCGACTGTACAGTATCTTTTGTGTTTTCTTTCCAAATTAAATACTGACAGGTTTACACAGGGAAATCCACACAACGCCTCAGCATGTATTCGTACTAATGTTTCCTGCATTATCGGCAAAACATACGATATAACCAGATAACTATCCTTCGGTATTCGCGAAATATGACGTGACGTCGACGTTTGGTTGTTCAAAACAAATTTGATTTTCCAATATTAAGGTTCGTGTTCCACAAACTACAAACGAACTATTAGCGAATGTTTATTTGTAAACAGATGTGACTTGGAGTCTCTGCCAGTCGCTATCAGCAGTCTTTGTTCGAGACTAGGAGCAGCTGCATAATGAAATGGAGCCTACTCCAGACGGTTTATCTTTTATAGAACTACTGACATTAACATTACCTACTCGCAACCTTCAATGTCATAGCGGAGGAGCAGCTTGTGATGTTAGTTTCCATATATCAACTTTAATTGGAAGATTGGCGTGCACGTTCTAGCTAGTCTGTACCTACCCTTGGATTAGATTCGCGCAATGCACGTGCTACGGATACGTATAACGCTGATCGATCGAGACGTGGTTTAGATGAAAGACCAAGATGCCGTTTGTGGCGCTCTTTCCTTTCCTCTGCGAGTATTCTTATTTCAGATCGCCTTAAGATTGGTTAGTTTAGCGATCCATCGCTCTTATCGCGATTTTGTGGATGATGTCGTTTATCGAGTGAATCCAATCAGAAAACACTTATGATTGTTTTTTGTTTGAATCACACAAGCAATTATATTCATGCATAACATACTCTTTGATTTTGAAATATATATATACAAAAGTATGTTTTGTTTTGGGGAAAGCTGACTGCGCCGAATCTTGTAGACATGCGCGCTGTACCGTTGGTGTCATTTATAGCGCTCTTTCAGAAAAACACTGGAATTTGCACAAAGTACAAAATATTAAAGACACGTTTTATCATATACATGTAAACTATCTTCAACCATATCAGATGTAAAGAAAATGCCAAATAGATGTTCAACTACTAAATCTGTACACAATCTAGAAATGTTTATAAACCTTAGTTATACCCTACATCAGGTACAACTTGTGTTATCATATTAAATAGCAATAAAAGTTTCATGTTGGAATTTGTAGCAATATAGAATAGTTTACTTCACAGTGGAAATTTGTGCAGTTTATGTAACGTCCTGTTTTATTTCTGTCAGTGAGAGTCCAATTTGTACACGATGATACGGGATATTTAACTCTCATTGACGAAGCTACAATAACCTCAGGGAATTTATAGACTACGGAAGAACCACATAGACCGTTGTCATTAAAATATTGAATATTTCTTCTGAACCTTATGCATAATTTCACAGCTCATTAAACATGCTGTTTTTGAGGGGTTGTAATCGGATCACGCAGAACGGTGATGCTGTGAAGATCCTCTTTTCAAGGCTATTTCCGATAATAATTGCAGCAGTTTTCAGATGATATGACATTGATTGAGTCGTTTTACATTGTAATCTAAAACAGGACCTTATAAATAATAATTAGTTGCTATCAGCATCCGATAAGGTTCAACCATTTGTAAACCCAGTGCACTGCACCGGTTCATAGAGAAATTGGAAAAATAGGAATAGGCGATAGCAATTAAATCTGCCGACATGTTTTTTGATAATATCTAAAAAATTGATCAGTTCCGGGATGTAAAATTCGATAGCAAACCGCAAATGACAAACATGGGTGTATCATTGGTACTGATGTTTAAAGTTTAAACAGTGAATGAGATTTTGTCAATGTTTGAGTTGCTCTAATCCTTTTAATCCGACATCTTGATCGCTGTCGATAGCGCCACCTAGATGGAAAATGACTGCCAAACATGTCTGTTGAATAGCCGTGCCGATAACCCTCCAATATATTTTGATGTAGAGCCCTGGTGATAACCCTATTATTTGTATGACTGGTAAACCGTGCCGATAACCCTATTATTTCTATGACAGTCTTGTCTGTTAATCTATGCACGTGCTAATGACCCTCATTGTTTGTATCAATACGAAGCTGTTCCGATAACCCTCCTGTTAGCGCCACATTAAACCCTGAAACAATATAACCCTCATTAGATTGAGGCTGAAAGACTGGGCTACATATACATTGAACCTTTAAGTCGTATAATGCTCTGTAACAAACTAGAATTAGGGCTGTGGTAAGGCGTTCTTACAACAATGGTGCGCCACACAATACATCCCAAACTACACACTCTTGTCGTTGACGCCTGATTCCCTTTTATAGGTCAGCCCCATCACAAGATTACATCTATCTGCGGAAAGATAAAAGAAATCATGTGAATAAAATCAATAATTGTTATATCTTCATCCTTACGTGTTCTTGAAAGTAAGCACTTCTATTTTGATTCGGCGTTGATACTATATATATACATGAATGTAAGTGCCGGACAGGCATTTCGTCCCAGTTGTACATATCACGTGCAGAAAGACTGTACCGAATCACCGAAGTCACCGTCGTTGTGTTAAATATGCAATGATTTGCAGATCGCGTGTCGATGCTTTTCACTTTAAAGTTCGCGTTCTCACAATATACCACCCGTAAGGGGTATAGAAAACCATCTGGTCGAGTCGGTAACATTTACATAAAATAACAATTAAGCTAATTTCACTTTTTTTCTCTATTTCAGAACGACTCACGTGCGGACAGCATGCAAGCGCGACATGTATGTCTCTACATTACGGTCTACATCAGGATTGTGTAATGGCGGACGGTTGGCTGACCTGCCTCGATGTGACAATGACCGATAGCAACATGAAAGTCTGCAACGAAAACTATGGCGTCCATAACAATTCCGTGTGGGTACAAGATGGATGCGAGGCTAGCTTCGAAGCCTGCTACGTCACAGGTACATTTGTTTGTTCAGAGTTTGCGCCCCTCCAACACCTATGGTCGTATAGAGACTTTATCCAAAGACGATTTTTGACCACGTAAGGGCCACTTTAAATGTCATCTCATTGAAATGTCGTAACCTTGACACCGGTAGCATGACACTCCAACCCGGTCACGTGATACTGACGACAGACTAATAGAGGGTGTCGAGGGAGACACCGGCGAAAATAAATAGAAGTAGGGGAGGGCAAATAGCGACCCCAAGTGTTGCAATTGAAACAGCAGATACATGTCAGTTCTTGAGCATCAGTCGCCTTCTGCAATGGCATACTGCCGGTCCCCCCGAAGCAGGCCTTGTCCTCAGTTTCAGTTTCAATTTCTTTATTTCCGAGAGCCATCCAACTCGTAGGATAAATGTCAAACAATTACATCATGTGATACATGTACAAGAGATTACTATACAAATTTAAATTGATTAAGTGGAGAGTAAGCTTACAAAGTAAGTACTTTATCAAATCAGACATTGAATTCTCTTCGGTTTCTCGTAGCACAATATAAACACTTTCCTAGATAACATAATTCTTTTACATTATTTGTACTCAATAATTTTAATTTCGTTAACTTAAAAACATTTGGAATTGTGTGATAGAATCGTTTGATATATCTATATCTCAGGTCTTGATATAATGGACATTTAGAGTCCTACAGTCCGCCATCTTACAATCTAAATATCCTTATAATAGCGTTATTTTGACCTATATTCGTACTTCTGACAATTCATGGGTTTTACATTTCTTAGGGAATCTGACGAGAAGAAAGAGTATATATAGTAAACGTTTGAAAAAAATCAAGATTCCCTATCAACTAAGTGCGTTTCCCTTCGCGTAAATGTTTAAACAAAATCTTGTGAAATGCAATATGCGAGACAGGTTTTACGAGCGAAGAGGAATCGCTATACTTTATGTAGGATTAGAACCTTATTAAGGAAAGTTCTGCTTTCGATGTCCCTATGACCAAAAATTACACCCTTATGCGCTGATGCGATTCCCCTGGCAGAAATAATTCCCGTTAAACTTCAGTACAATCTGAGAAAATAAAGCGATATCTTCAAACGGAAGACAAAGACCAGCCAAATTAGACGTTAAATAACGACCTCAGAGAATAGCAGCCATTTTAAATCTCCCGGCTGAAGATGAAATCGTGGGGTGGGGCGAAATATATAATAAAAATGACTATTTTTTCCTCTACACTGACTTGATTAATTTAGAAATGCTGATGACTGAAGCCATTGGCGTACGTCCGGAGGCCGTTAACTATAAGTCATTATACCTTGGAGAAGCACAGCCACTTGAAATATTAATCAACGTATCTTTAGAAGTAGTAAATTCAAAGTAAGGTTTTTATGCTTGGCTTTGATTGGATTTTTGAAATGTTCTTAAAAAAATCAAACTTAATGTTGCTCTTTATCGAATTTTCTGAATTGAAATGTCGGCAAACTTCGGTAGACACAAAGATCATTTGTTCAAAGCATGGTTAGCTTTCTAGCTTGTTCGTACAAATGACTTTTTCTCCTACTAAATATATACTATCATATTTTGTCATTGTAGTTTTTTTTCTACATCTTGCCCCGAAGTGCTGATATTAAAAGTGCAGTCAGATTATTTTCAGATCATTTTCCGTTTAATGCGTTTTGAAGCAAACAAAAATATTACTTGAAACGGTGATCAAGATAATCAGGCTTTGTTAAAAGCTGGCAACCTTGACTTCCGTTTGAAATTGAATTAAGGGACATGAAAGTGATACAGATGCCGCTGTGCATTATGGATATCTTAGAGGTACACAGAGAATGGCGGCAATCTGTAGCCGACTTTAGTAACTTAATGTTGACTGTAACCTAATGTTGTCTCAATGTGATCGGTTTTACATGCGAGATTAAACACAATGTACTTTATCATCATTATAAAGTGACGATAGGGCTGTGATAATAACGTTTACAGTATGAACGCCTAGGGTCTTTATGCGTTGTAAAAATAATGTGAAATAATCACCATAACAATTAGCTATAGTCTTTGTGCTAGGTTGGCAATATAGAAGTAAGGTTTCCATATATAAACCGACAGTAAGGTGAGAACGCTGTGTGGGTTTTACGTACATGTAGTTATACCTTCAGATGATACATAAAGATCTGCTGAAGCTTAAGTCTTCTACACATCTTTTAAATTCGTCACTTGTAGTCAAGTGAAATTGTTGTCAAACGAGAAACGTATCTCATTATGTACTTCGTAAGTGGGCGAAACTATTTTAATGATTACCAGACCGAAAATATATTTGTTTTTTTTGTCTGACTACAATGTCAAAAGATTTTGGGTATGTTTCACCAGACCGAGCTTATTGTTATCAGACTGTCACTGACATAAAGTCATAGTGTACATTGTATAGTTTATTAGGTTCATATAACCAGAGTTTATTGTATTGCATAATCTTAGTATACGTCGTATTCAGTACAGTATTAACGTTTTGACTATTTAAATACACGTTGAAGTTGTCCAACCAATGGATTCAATAGTGTATTGTTCCCAAGGGTCAAAACATTTTAATAGAATTATTAAATATTAAAGAATTATTTCGAACCTCAAAGTTCTTTTGAAATTCATAGCAAAAAAATGCCCTTTTTTGGGACTGCAAAGAAGATATAAAGACTCAGACCCAATAAATATCACTTGTGAAATTTTTAAGATTTTTTTTTCGAAGGAAAGAATTATGCGTATTCGTTAATACATTTTATGTGTTAATATTTACAGATGTTTCCGGATCACGACTTCGGCAGAGAACACTCGAGTGCCGAAACTTGGATGATACTTACAAAATGTGTGAGGTAGAGGGCGCTAAGCTCGTCAAGGATGTGGAATTAAAATATGAACTACCCTCTCATGGCACGTGTTCCAAAGGAATTAGTTACGGAATATTCAACAACTCAATGTGGATTCATTCAGGGTGCAATGGGATATTTGATATTAAATATTACGAAGGTAAGTCTGACACTTCATATTCAACCCAGACAGGTATACGATTGATATAGCTTGTTTTTTCTATAACATTGCTGTTCTTATATAAATTTGTGTAAATATATTATCGATTAACCACTAATGTGTTTTTTTAATTTTATTATTTTACATTCTACCGGAAGAAGAAAGACAAAACTCAGGGTATATGTACAACAGTTATTGTTGTCATCTTTAATATACAAATGCTTTCCAAGATAAATCAAGTATGTTACAACGGTAACTTAATTTCTGTTTCATGAAAAGTGTATTTACTCGGGCTAGTTTTTAATATTCATCAAATTATATCTTTGTCAATATTTTAATCCGCAACGGAAATCAAACCTACTTTTATGGATGATGTGTCTCCCGTTTTAACCTACCTCGTTGTTTCACGTGTGAAAATTCATATGGCGTGATCTGCTGACACAATCAAGACATTAGAGTACATACTGGATATCTTCTTTAAAGTCAAGGTCGCACGAGGTCTTTGAGCGATATTTAATGATAAATAATCACCACTAGGAGAGGACTATTTTGATATTGGATACGGCGTCACGACCGTTCCATAGTGTGTGGTAATTCTCTGTCCGTGTATTGTGGTAATTATCGTCCTCAGCCAGACATTATATACCACACATGCTTAATAGCATACAATTATGGTCCTCGGATGAGGTGCATGCGGTATTATATAATCCTCGTTAATATAAGTCGGTTTGGAATGATTACATACCTCTTCTGGTGATTATCATGAAGCGTGTACCTGGAGCCCAATGTCTGCCTAATATTAATCATAGGGTCGTTGTTGACATCGAACAGCATTTATTTGTTATCGTAGAACAGTTTTGATGAACATGCTTTGCTGAGGATTTAACTTCTTCAAGATCCATTAGTTTAATGACATTTTAAGTTAACAAAAATGTAATTAGATTTTGGATATTTTATTTTTATCTAGATGTGATATTTATCTAATGAAACTTCACAGAGTTGATGTATTTCATTAAATTGTCTGGATCCTAGATGATTTCAACGGCTTATTTTGATTCTGACTGATTTCGTTGATGTAAGATAAAATCTTTCTTGAACAGTTTCATTGACGTCGGATTTTCTGTTTTGGCAGTTAGATAATATTTATGTTGATGCTTTGTTTACGTTATTTACAAGTTTGTTTACTGTTACCGTTGCAGCTAAGTCCACTTCCCCACATGGTGGAACGCTCGCCCCACCCCCAACACCCGTCCCTTCTACAACCCCGGCCCCCACACCAGCTCCTACGCCGAAACATACAACGCCTTATGTGAAGTACCCATTTGACCCGGAGACTCCCCGACCACCTTACCAACCAACGCCCATCCCGGGGCTCAGTAGCACCACACATGGGACGGGTGCCACACCCTTCCAAGGCCGGGACAACCTTGTACCTATCACTGTGGCGGTATTCATGGGCATATTTGTTGCCCTCTTGCTCATCCTGTTTGCCGTCTTGTGGATTTGTCGGAGAAATACTGTTGTGTAAGTGTAGACATTTTTTACAATGTGCTTGTACAAGTACAAACACATCCTTATAAACCTTTCATACAATACACAGTTGTTTATTCTATAATTTATGCTGCTAGTATATGTTCTCAAATTCAGCAGATTTTTTAGGTCACCTGAGACAAAGTCTCAAGTGACCTATTGCGATCGCCTTTTGTCCGTCGTCGTCCGTCGTCGGTTGTCCGTCGTGCGTCCGTAAACAATTTACATTTTCGACTTCTTCTCCAAAACCCCTGAACCAATTTTAATGAAATTTTGCAGGGACCTTCCATGGACAAAGGTCAACAAAAATGGTTGCCGGTTTAGTCCTACGTCCCAAGGGGCCTGAGGGGCGGGGCCAAAAGGGGTCAAATTGACTAAAATTTCAAAAATCTTCTTCTCCAAAACCCCTGAACCAATTGCAATGAAATTTTGCAGGGACCTTCCATGGACAAAGGTCAACAAAAAT